ACCTTTCGAGGTATTGTACGGACGAAAATGTCGAACTCCTTTGTGCTGGAATAAAATAGGTGAAAAACAGTTAGCTGGGCCTGAGTTAGTTCAGCAAACTGCAGATAAAATTGGAGTAGTACGAGAATGAATGAAAGCGGCACATGATAGACAAAGAAGTTATGCAGATAAACGTCGGAAGCCGATTGAGTTTCAAGTGGGTGATAGAGTGATGTTAAAAGTATCACCTTGGAAAGGAATGGTACGTTTTGGAAAAAGAGGGAAACTAAGTCCAAGATATGTTGGACCATTCCTTATCACTGGAAGAGTTGCGGAAGTGGCTTATAAGTTAGAACTTCCTTTGGAATTAAGTGGAATTCATGACACGTTTCATGTGTCGAATTTGAGGAAGTGTCTAATAAGTCCAGATGTGGCAGTACCATTACCTGAAATTAAGATAGATGAAAAGTTATGYTATGAAGAAACCCCTGAACAGATTACTGACTATAAGGTGAAGAAACTATGAAACAAAAAAATTGGGTTAGTAAAGGTTCAGTGGCGTTATCACAAAGGACCAAACGCCACTTGGGAATCAGAGTCTGAGATGCAGATGAAATATCCCTACCTTTTTGCTTAAATGAAATTCCGGGACGTAATTCTTTTAAGGAGGGAATGTTGTAATATTCGGGTTTCAAGTTTTGATTTAAGATTTTCTTTAACATATATATATATATATATATATATATGTGTGTGTGTGTGTGTGTGTGTGTTGTTTATGTGAAGATTTTGAGATTTAATTTCAAAAAGAAAAGGGGGGGAGGTCGGCTGGTTGTGCCGCCCACCACATTCCATAGAAAGTTGAGTTAGATGAAAGGTTTTACACACTTTCTATAATAGGAAAGATTTCTTGGTGAATCATACGGATTGGCAGAAAAAGAAGAAAAGAATTTAGAATCAGGATTCTTTGTTTAAGGTGAGTGTATATTGCTTTAAAGTATTGGTTATTACATCTTTTACTGCTAGAATCTGTTATTTATGAACTGCATTTCATAAATATTTAGTTAAGTGTTAAACCGGATAAGGAGTGTCCGGAGTTCCTCCCTAAACCGGACAAGAGGTGACTGTATCTCGTCTAAACCGGTCAAGGGTTGGGCGATGTATTCACCGGATTGTTTTAAATCGGTCAAAGGTTGGGCGATGTATTGTCCGGATTACTTTAAATCGGTTAAGTTGTGAGCGGGGTATTGTCCGGACTTGTAATTCGGACAAAGATATTGACTTAATTATAAGTGTTAACCGGACAAAGCTTATACAAGGTGTTATCCGAATTGTTGACCGGAGATGATGGTTACTCTTAATATTCTAAGTGTTTGTCCGGATTTCATATCCGGACAAGGCTGACCGGATTTCAAATCCAGCTAATGTGTTGAAGCATTTTTGAGATGTAATGGCGGTGTAACCGCAAGAGAGATGTAATGGCGGTGTAACCGCGAGAGAGATGAAATGGCGGTGTAACCGCGAGAGAGATGAAATGGCGGTGTAACCGCGATAGAGATGAAATGGCGGTGTAACCGCGAGAGAGATGTAATGGCGGTGTAACCGCGAGAGACATAAACAAGTTTATGTATCAAAACAGGTTTGATTCTGAACTGATTGTTTGGAAAGTATGTTGTTTGTTTGAGAWTTATACACTCACWAGACCTTTTTGGTCTAACGCTCAGTTGTTGGACTAACCTATTTTGCAGGTCATCATATCTCGCAAGATAAAGGCAAGGGAAAAGTTTAGAATGAATGACATTTAGTTACTCATAAATGTATTTTAAGAAAGTTTTTTTTTGTTAATCTGTATTTTGTAAACAATGTTACATTTTGTGTTATGAGTATGATGATGTGGATTATCTGTACATTGAATATGTGGGTTGTTACATAACTCTATGGACCGAGTTCACGTGTAGAACGTCATGACTAAAAAGCCGCCATAGAAGGCATCCTAACTAATGTGCCCATCAATTGGGTGATGTTGAAAACTAAGAAATCTAAACATGCGTCACTACTCAGATGACTTTCATAAAACGTCAAGTTTCAATATACTTCATAAAATTCAAAACTACTTCAAATATGAGAACCATTAGACTAAACTCAAGTGTTAAAAATAAAAAGGTTCAACGATTTATACATATAAGTACGTATTTTGTTGACCACTTTTAATGATCAATCACCAGGAGAACCACCATTACGAAGGGTCAACTACAAAAAAAATAGTTGCCCAAGAGTTAAGAGAACTGAAATTCGTACCTCAACTGAAAATGAGAAGTAACGCACGATCAACGGGATTCAAGGTTAAGTTTGACTTGGTTGCGTGCCTAACGAATGCATAAATCGATTATTGCTTAAACGATGTAAAACCATATCCTAATTCTACAAATAAGTTTTTTAGGTCGTACATGTTAGTAACCAACTTAGACTTCAAGAAGGATATATGGATACGTATTGAGAAATCGACTCAACACTTGACTTTATGCAGTTTCATTTCCAACTTTTAACAACTTATGTCCCTCATTTTTTTGACCATTTTTACCCCACTTAGAGGTCAATACAGAAAATACTATATAAATGAAAGTTTTAGTATGGTATCTTATGAATCTACTAGTTTTGGAATCATCTTGTTTTGATCATTCATCTATTTAGATGAATTTTGCAAAACTGCAGCAAAATCCCATGTATAATGTAAACAACCCCAAAACGACACCATTTTGATCCCCTTAGAGCCACAACTGGGGTTTGAACCCTTCATGACAACTTTAATGTACATTAAGGTCTTTCTTCCTGCAAAATATGAGCCTTTTTCAACGTGCGATTTGTGATCTACGCACTGTCAAAGTACGGACTTGCACAGTCGTTAAAATCTGATTTTCACTTTTTTTTTCCAACTAACTTTTATGATCCAACTTCATGATTTGCTACATTTAAGTTCTCCAAAACATACCTCAACATACTAAACAATAAACAAAGCTCAATGATCGCTAACCTCAGCTTAATCATACAGTTTACTCTTTTCGATATTTGATTGAACACTTGATGTGTGGTTAATTATTCACACCAAATTTAACCATATTGATTCCATACTTTACCCTTTTATTTCCTATTCAATTTTAATCAATCCTAGCATTCTAAACATGAAATATATCATAATTTTAACAATATCAATCCGTAAACTTAGACATAAACACAATTTATAAACCGATCTCAATAATCCTAACGTAAGCACCCTAATAAAAGTGAAAGACATTTATACTGTTGGTCCTGTTAGGGTCTACAAGATGTGTATAACAGTTTGTAGAAGGGGGGATGAATACAAACACAGTAAACTTTTCAAATTTAAAATATATATTGATAGAGAATGATCAATACAGATTTTACAAGATTGTTTGTCGAAAGAAAAGCTAAATGTAACTTATCTAAACAATCTAAGTTACACGCTAGTTCTTAGCAAAGAGAACAAATCGGCTCCGTACCGTACTATGCTCTAGAAAGGGTATGGGTTTGTTCTTTATGTGTATAAGGACAAGACAAAAACAATCGTGCTCAACATGCTTCTTTTGATCGCTGAATGCTGGAATAACCTGAAGGTCTCTTCAGCATTCGCTGAGGCTTGGGCAGTCTTCACACATGTGTAGACAAGGTTGTAATCACTGAATACCGCTTCAGATCACGAACTCGCTAGTCTCTAATCTTCTGTTTCAGTTTTCGACTTTCGCTGAAGGTTCTTTGGTGTGAGTTTTGTCTTCTTGAAGTATCGCTGTCGCTGATGAATTTACATGACATGTTCTCAACGATCATTGAACAGACTCGGTGATGATCGCTGGAACTGAAAGACAGAAACATAAATACTTCGTATAAGGTAAAAGGAATTATCATCAAATCACTGAGAGAGATGATCAACAATCTCCCTCTATTTGATGATAACAAGGCAACATAAAGAAAGTTGTTATATCAAATAACAATAAGGAAAAGTTACATATAAAGTACATGTCCCTTTTAACTGTTTTGGGATCTTTATCAGTGAGTCAGTCTTTACTTAGAACATTTTCTTAAGTTTAACTCTAAGAAAAAAATTAAAAGAAGGAAAACTGAAACTGAAAGCATATTCACTGACTTATAGATTGTCAGTGAATGTAAGAGTAACACTGGAACTCATAGACTTGTATCCCTATTACTCTTCAGGGATTTTTTTCAGCGATGCACAAAAATACTTATATTAAATTCAAAGGAAATATTGCAAGTGTTTCAGTACATGTCTAGAGTTACAAAATATAAGAATAATCACTGAAAGTAGACATAGTAAATAGTTTATTCAATGAAAGAACAAAGTACAAAAGAAATAACTAATCTAAGTTGTTCAGATTAATGTAACCAGGTACATCTTCTCTGAGCTCCTTTCGACGTCGAAATTCCTTTCTGATCCTGATGTCCATCGCTTCACCAAATACGTCATCGTTCAGCCAATAACGGAGATATGCAAGATGTTTCATTGGGCAGAGATGCAACTCAGACATTCTTTGAAAGCTGACTTCGCCATCATAGTTAAGGAAAATAATTCATTTCTCAGGCTTGAAGTGCACAGTGTTGGGTACATAAGGACCCTTCCCTGGCAATGAGAGATTCAGCATAGAGATGTCTGGATTCTTCGAAGCCTTCAAAACTTCATCTAAGGAGAACTTTTTTTCATGTTCATTCCTCAGGGTTGGTCCATTATTAGGGCTTGAAGGTATTTTTCTTCTTCCTTCTTTCTTCAGTGTAGGCACTTCAGGGACTGCGACATATTTTGACACTTTCTTGATCAACTCATTGATAAGGTCTTCGATAATCGTCTTATGTCTATACTTGGAGGGCTGAATGGCTTGTAGGATCTCCAGCCATTCAGTATAGCCATACTCGCCAAGATAGGAAGGATACTCGATCACGACCTCAAGATTGTCCCCGGTGATGAGCATTGAGAGCAGCATCCCACCATCTTTTGATCATTCACTGATGCTGACGCTCTTGATTAGGTGAGGACTGATCCTCTTATTAATGCTTGCTTCGCTCCAGTGCTTGTCCCGCTCAGCCAGCTTCAGGTTTTTCTCATGCTCAACTTCTGCAAGAGATAGGAGCTTAGCCTGGGCCTGGACAACAGTCACCTTCTTTTTGGACTTTCTCTTGGGAAGAACTTTGGCGGCAAGGGACTTGGCCAACTTTAAGCTGTCCTCAGTCTGCTTCCTTTGAAGTTCCAGTCCTTCCTCGGCCTAGAGGGCCTCGAGTCTTTCAGCTTCGGTCAGGAAGTCGAACTCACCACCACTAGAGGTACGAAGAATTTTTTTACTCTAGTCTGGTCGAGTGACTCCCTGAGTTGAGTCATCTGCTGGTCGGTGGGAGTGCTGGGGGTAGGTTCTCAGGGACACATTCCAGCTGACCGGAGGTAGTAGAAGGTATCTCGAGTTGATACATAGAGGTGATGACTACTTGAGATAAGGAGTCTTCAAATAAGGGTTGAGTAGATTGGAATAGTACCTTTAGGTTCCATTCTTCAACGACGCCTTTACCTTTAGACTTAGGGTCTTGGTGCTTTTCTTGAGAAGCCTCTTTCACCCCTTGCTCCCCCTGGGATACGGATTCCCTGAGGGCGACACCTGTCGTGGCATCGACAAGTCTCTGGTACTGAATTGTGAAGTCGTCGTCATCGTCATCTTCATCATCATCATCGTCCAGATCTTTGCTAGTGTCAGGAAGGTCGGGGGTCTCATCGTCTTCATCATCATCACTGTCTTCATCCAGATTACCAACATCAGCTGCAGAGGTGACTGGATGAGCATTGTCATGAGCTTCAACTCGGGCGGCATGAACATTGTTAGATCCCATAATTATTATTGTAAAAGTAATGAAAAATGTACAATAAAGAAGTTCAGAGGACCGATGAAAGAAGAGCTGGAGAAAGACCTAAGTGTTCAAGACGAACCAGAGATGCAATGAATAGTCCGTAAGTGCGATGAACAATGCATCTCCATCACCCCTCTAGTTATAAACACTTAGCAGATTCTACAAGAGTTCAATCAGAGACATCCAAGCAAAGAAGATACGTAAAGACTCCTGGTTGAACATACTACTAGAAGACGGCTGGAGATGACTCATCAATAGCTAAAACCGGTTACACAAGGTAGTTAGAGATAAGTTCCAAATCCTAGATAAATATATTTTCCCTAGAATATCTCATAGATATCTTTTCCCTAGATTTTTATCTCTTAGACTAAATTGCTAGTATAAATAGCTAGCATATGTCTTGTAAATATTTATTTTTCTTCTCGTCAAAGTTATTATAATGAAATTCTTTGAAGCTTCATATTCTCTTGAATATTCTTTAAGCCGTTCTTCACTATTCTTCATTCATACGATAGATTTAGGTTTCACAAACATAAATCTTCGTGTTATATTGAGAGACCTAGGATCAACAATTGGTATTAGAGCAAATTGATTGATTTATAATCAAAATGATCAAATTTGAATCTGAGAATTCAAAATCTCTCAATTTTCTCCATTCTTAAAATTTTCTTCTTCTCTTTTAAATCTCTTTAATGGCCAACTGGAATTTTGCCTACAATGTTGGTTCCCTCACCAAGCCTCCAACTCTTCAACATGAAGAGTATCCACAATGGAGGATACACATGGTGAATTTCCTAGAGGGGATGGACGAGAATCTCCTCAGGTCTGTGATGGAAGGCCCATATGTTCCTCAAACTCTTGTTCCAAGAGTTCCTGGAATAAGTACCACTGCAGAAGTTGCTGCTTACTATATGGTAAAGGACGAGAGCAACTGGGATGAAGATGACATTGAGCAGGTAGAGGAAGACAAGAAGGCCAAGAGGCTGATAATCATAGTTATTCCCAATGAAATATTCCAGTCAATGGATGCTTTAACAATAACTAAGGAGATATGTGATAAATTGGCTAGCCAACTGGAGGGAGGCGCTAAAACGAAGAAAAACAGAAGGGTGCAATGCTTGAATGAGTACACGAACTTTAAAGTATTGCCAGATGAACTGATACAGAAGACGTATGATCGTTTTAACACATTGATAAATCAATGTCGTAGAAATGACATTGCAAGGACGAAAGAGGAAAAAATGTCCTTTTCCTCAAAAGTCTCGGTGATGAATGGACGCAACTGTCGATGTCTCTACAAGCAAATCAAGACTTAGACGGTTGGTCACTTCATGACGTATATGGAACACTTGTTGCCCAAAAGCAAGATATCTTGAAGAGGAAGGTGTCCATCGGAGGGCCTCTTGCCTTGGTGTTAGAGGAAAAGGAGATGACAAGGATGAAAGTCCACAATCAATCAATCTTCAAGCAAAACTTCAATATCCATGGCAGATCTAAGATTTTCTATAAGAACATCATAGAGATAGAGAGAGAGAAATTCAATGCTCAATATATTGGTTAAACTTTACAATACGTATATTAAATCTTACAAATGAGCTCTTACCAAAGATTACAAGAAACACCCTATTTATAGGGTCAAACAAAAAAGCCTAGTCAAAGTCAAACTAAACACACAAAGTCAAACACGATGTCTATTTTAATTATAGACAATCTTATCTTTCAAGACGAATACAATTTTACACAGAAATTCAATCCTAACATTCTCCCCCTTTGTATTCAGGCTTGAAAGAATTTGCGCACGTTGAATCTCGTTTGAACTTTGTCTCTTTACGCTCTTTATGACTTCTTCAGAAACATCAAAAACAATCTTCACTTGAAATCTTCAGACAATTATCTGTTGAGAAAGATCTTCTAACATTCTCCCCCTCGAATGTAGAACCGCGATGATCTTCTCTTTTGACAATGTGGATCAGAAATAATAACGAAACTTCATAAATGATCTTCATAAAATTTTCTTTTCAAGGTAGTCTTCATCAGCAAACTATTGTAAAATGGATCTTCACATTCAACATCTCTCAGTCATTTTAGCATAGGAATAATCTTTTGTAATCATCTCCAGTCGCACTCCTTTTGAGTCTTTTGCCAATTTTGAAGTTACTCCCCCTTGATCTTTACATCAGATTCCCCTTTATAATGTTCGGAAATAAATATTTCATTCATTATTACATACTCCCCCTTATGATGAAATGGGGATTATTCCATCATACACAAGAATGAATGAAATCCTCCGCGTAAGCCATCAATTCCATCATAACAGATATACTCAGTACAACGGATGTACTATATATATGAGACTTTTTGATGCTCATCTTACCAGGTCTTCCATTCAATCATCGATAGCTTAAAATTAGCATATCTATGAATGTTTTGGCAAAATAACATATAAAATACAAAATCTGTGTAGTGTAAAAAGATAAAGCAACATATGCTTCTTTTTAGGCTAAAAAAGATAAATTGTGTGGACTACACAAATTTATCAGACTCAATTAGTGAGCAAAAGGACTTGAAGGGGGGACATATAATGGAAGACTTTTAAATTCTTGCGATTCCTTAATTAAGTGGAGAATTCCTTCGTACTTGAGTGTCCCAATGAGCCCGTAGGTCGGAAGGCGGCGGGGGAAGGAGAGGGAGACTGGGCGAGATCTATTCAATATCAGCTTCCTCCGAATGGGAAATTGATAGATGATGAGCTGCGTGCCCCAAGTGTTATTGAAACACTTATCTGTTGAGAGATAAATGAGTAGCTGGTGGGGTTGTGACAAGAATTAGCCTGAGCTTTACCTTTTTTCAGTATTAGTCTCGAAAGAATTGAGAACTAATAGATTGTGTGGTATGCCCGGATTTTAGAAGTTTGGAACAAGATCTTGTTTATTCTTTTGATCCTGACACAACTCTCGTAAATTCTTTTAGCTCACTACAGCTACCCCTCTCTTTTTCATTTTAATCTCAACACACAAACCCTTTTGATTTAAACTCACTCAGATATGGTTGTTCTCATGGGTAGGTTTGTCGGTTCTGACATTCCATTGAGGTATTTCTGATAAGCACTCAGTCCCTCCTAAAATTTACAGTATGCTTAGTTGATCACAATGATTGATCAAAATATTACTTCTGTTAAGCACAATGATCAGATAACAATTGATCAAGATATTTGGCTTTAAGCACAATTAACGAAAGAATAATGCGACAAAGATAAGATTATTCGATATGCGAGAGAAATGAATGAAGATCTGTAAGTACGAGTTTACAAATTTTGATTAAAAAATGTATATCAATCAAGAAAAAAGAATCAGAAAAATCAACATTTGAATACAAACCAGTGTATTATCACCGAAAATGATTTTATATATTAGAGACGTGATAATAACGATTTGAAGAATAGCTGAAGCAGGTATTGAAGTTATGTACGATGAGAAATTACGCAAGTAAAATCTCAGGAAATACCTGTTCAGAAAAAATACTTGTTACCAAAAAAATTTATTTTTCGAAAAAGATTTATTGAACTTTCTAGAGACTCCCCCTAGAAAGTAGATTTAAGTAATATTTCTACTCCACTAAAAAAATGGAAACATGTTTAGCACGGGTCCTAAATAGTATGTTTAGAAACCACACTCGGTAATGCACGGGTTCTGAACTGAAGTATTCAGAAGCCTCGTTTGGATCAGATTATAACTCCCCCTGCATTGGTGTATCACTGATATAATATTTTAATCAGCACAAACTTGACACACCTGCAAAACCAGATTAAATAGATTTTGGTACTCAAACAAACTTGAGTCCTATTTTGTTAGTATCGGGTTGGGGTACATTGTAACTTCCAAACCATCTATTCTTATTGGATATATTCTTTTTAGCACTGTGAACAGGATGATCAGGAATAAAATATGATTAATACCAGTAATTGTGATCATACCTGTTCTTACATTTCCAACTGTTCTGATAGCTTTTATCTTTATACCACCTGTTGAACCTTTTCTTATTGACAAAATCATTGGTTCTGCATGTTGAGCACATAATTCTTCTCTTGCTAAGATTGATCAGATCATTAGTGGATTTCACAATGCAAGGAAGAACAGAGTTAGTAACAATAGGTGTATGAGATGAAACATAATCAGCTTTATTAACCCATACTTGTTTAGCTTTTGAAAAATTATTGGGTGATCCAATGACATACCCTTGATAAAACTGATTTGAGGAATGAGACTTGTTTTTAAAAATAGTTGATTTAGGACTACTATAATAACTGTTAGATTTAACACTAGAACAGTCATAAAAGCTTTACACTGTGATTGAGAACCAGTTGGGCTTTTAGCACATGAGAAGTCTTTTACTTTCTTTAATAACTGGTCTCTTTCATCAACAACTAAATCGTATTTCTTTTTCAGTTCGGTTCTCATGTTCAATTTAGTTACAAGTTTTGTCTCTAGATCAAACAATTTCTTTGCAGTATCCAAAAACTTACCTTCTAATTCCTTCTTTAACTTTTCACATACTTTCCTTTCTTTCTCAAACTTCTTTCTTTCTTCATCTAAACTTCCTTTATCATTCTCTGAAGCAATGTCAAGCCATTTCTTTTTCTTAGTAAGCTCTTTGGCAATTGCAGCATGTTTCTTGACAGTACTTCTCTTCTCAAGAACAAACAACCTTTTCTCTTCATCTAGAGCTTTTTGCTTTTGTTCAGCCTCTTTCTTTTCTTTATCAACCTTGGCTCGTTCCAAGATGATAAGTTGTTCAAAATCTAAAATTTGATTTAAAAGAAATTTAGCATTCAGCTCAAGAGAATTAATCTTATTTTCATAAGATTCACGTTCAGTATAAAATCTTTTTTCAATTTCTATAATCTTTTTCTTCTCTTTCTCAAAAACTTTCCTTTCATCATTCAAATTCTTTTCCACTTCTAAAACCTTTTCTTTCTCTAGATT